ACGATCACCTGAGGTCAGGGAGTTCAAGACTAGCCTGGGTAACATAGTAAGATCTTGTCTCTACTATATATATATATATATATATATATATATATACATTTTTTTTTTGAGACGGAGTCTTGCTCTGTCACCCAGGCTGGAGTGCAGTGGCGTGACTCTCGCTCACTGCAAGCGCGTCTCCTGGGTTCACGCCATTCTCCTGCCTCAGCCTCCCGAGTAGCTGGGCTACAGCGCCCACAACCATGCCTGGCTAATTTTTTGTATTTTCAGTAGAGGACAGGTTTTTCACCGTGTTACCAGGATGTCTTGATCTCCTGGACCTCGTGATCCCACCCGCCCTCGGCCTCCAAAGTGCTGGGATTACAGGCGTGACCCACTGCGCCTGGCCTATTTTATGTTTTTTGAGATGGAGTATGGCTCTGTCGCCCAGGCTGGAGTGCAGTGGTGGCAATCTCGGCTCACGCCACTCTACCTCTCTGGGTTCAAGCGATTCTCCTGCCTCAGCTCCCGAGTTGCTGGGATTACAGGCGCCCACCACTACCACCACTATGCCCAGTCTAATTTTTATATTTTTAGTAGAGATGGGGTTTCACCATATTGGCCAGGCTGGTCTACAAACTCTCCGACCTCAAGAGATCTGCCCACCTCAGCCTCCCAAAGTGCTGGGATTACAGGTGTGACGAGCCACCTTGGCTAGGCTGATTTTGAACTCCTGACCTCAGGTGATCCGCCCACCTTGGCCTCCCAAAGTGCTGGGATTACAGGCCTGAGCCACCGCACAGGGGAGGGGGTTCCACTTACTGTCATAAGCTCCTCACTACGTGCCCGACAGTTTTCCATATTCGGTAAATATTAATTCCCCTCAACTCCATCGGCGGAAAAGCGGAGGCCCAGAGAGGTCAGGGGCAGGGCACCAGCCTCACCATTAGCAGAGATGAACTCAGACCCAGGGGCTTCCCAGCCCGGGCACCTGCACCCAGCCCCACCCCCTCCGGCCTCCCCGCCCCTGCAGGCCCCCAGCCCCCTGGTCCCCAGCCTCTCCTGTGAGCTCTGACCACACCTCGGTCACAAGGGCTCCCCTCCCAGCATCTGCCCAGTTCCCACGGCCCGGACCCCCTTCGGAGCCCCTGGAGCTCCTAGTCGACCTGCGGAACCCAAGTCTCTGCCCCGCCCCCCTCCGCCGGGCACCCCGGTCCTGCCCCGCCCCGAGGCCACTGCGGGGGCGGCTGTGCCCGCTCTGGTCCCCCAGCGGGGGGGTCTCTGCGTGCGGACGGAACCGAGGCGCCTCCCCCGCCCCCCGCGCGACCCCCACCCACCTCCACGAAGTAGAAGCAGGGCAGGAGCGTCATGCTGTCCTTCGGGATCCTGTTCTTCTCCTTGGAGATCATGGTGCCGCGGGCGCCGCAGGCCGTGGCTGGAGGGGAGACAGCGGCGCTGGAGGGGGGCGCGCAGGCGGAACCCGGGGGGCGGGCACGGTGGCCGGCGCCGGCGGGGGAGGGGCGGCCGGGGAAACTGAGGCTGGAGAGAGCGGCGTCCGCGCGGCCTCCCCGCGCCCCGGCCCAGCACGCGCCTTCCGGGCGCCCCCACACCCGGGATCGGGTGGTCGGGGCCGGGATCTGCGAGGAGGGCGGGGCCGGCCTGGCCGGGGGGGTCTCGGGGCGGGAGCCGGTCCCCGTGTGGGGGTGGGGGGCGTCCGGGAGAACGGGGGTTCCGGGCGGCGGAGGAGGCTGGGTCCGCGCCCCCCGCACCCCAGCCCCTCACCTGGCGCGGCCGGCGCCCAGCACAAAGCGCGTCTCCTCCGTGGGGCGGGGCCGGGAGCGGGGACGGGGAGGGGAGGAGGGAGGGGAGGGGGAGGGTCCGGCCCGGAGACCCCCGCGCGCGCCCAGACGCCGCAGCCCAGACGCCGCGCCAGGGGCGGGGGCTCTTTGTCTCCGCGCGTCCTCCGCAGGCCCCGCGCACCGTCCCCGCCTCCCGGGCGCCGCCTCCCCTCGCCGGGGGTCTCGGGGGTCTCGGGGGTCTCAGGTCTGCGCGAGCGGCTGGCGGGGCTCGGGGGTCGCGTCCTCCTCTCTCCGGGCCTGCGGCGGCGGCGGTCCCGTCCTCCCCTCCCCGGTGGCTGCGGTCGGCCCGGGGGCCCCCATCGAGGCGGGGGCAGGGGTTGGGGGTTCGGGGTCTCTGACTGTCTCGGTGCCTCTCACGGTCTCTCGCCCGCTCCGACTCCCCCCGCCCCGCGCCTCCGCCCGCCCCTCCGCGGAGCCCGCCGCTCGCTGGTGCGCGTTTCCATGGCGCGGCTCCCAGGGCGCCCCGAGCATCCGAGACAAAAGAGCTGGGGGAGGGGCAGGGGGTTGGGGGGGTCTCCCGGTGCCTCCCTCCCCCGCACTCACCCTCGCCCCCTCCGCCGCGCCGGGGTCCACCCTCTGCCTGGCCGCAGCCGCCCGGGGCGCACGGCGGGATTGCACGGTGCGGGGCTGGGGGCTGCGGGATGCGGGCAGGGCCCTGGGGACGCGCACTCGGGCAGTGCCTGCTGTCTGCGGGCATTTCCTCCTCCATGTGCGCAGCCCTGCGAGGTAGGGGCGGGTTGACCCCCGTTGTAGGAATGGAGAAACTGAGGCTTGGGCACCCTGGGTCGCTGTCCGAGGTCTCTGGGCTCACCACGTCCCGCCTAATTTTTTTTTTTTTTTAAGCAGAGTTGGCCGTCGCCCAGCCTGGAGTCCTGGGCTGGATCTCCCGCCCACTGCAACCTGCTCCCGGTTTACGCATTCTCCTGCCTCAGCCTCGATAAGCTGGGACTACAGGCCCCCAACCACACCCGCTAGTGTTTGTATTTTTAATAGAGAGGGTTCACCGTGTTAGCCAGGATGTCTTGATCTTCTGACCTCCGTGATCCCCGCCCTCCCAGGCTCCCAAATGCTGGAGTAAACTTGAGCCACCGCAACGTCCCTTTTAGTTTGTTTGTTTTTTTTTTTTGAGATGAATTTGCTCTGTAGCCAGGCTGAGTGCAAGTGGCCAATCTTGCTCAACTGCAAGCCCCCCTCCACCCTCCCGGGTTTCACGCCTTCTCCCTCAGCTTCCCAATAGCCTGGGACCTACCGCCCCGCCCACACCCGCCCAAGTTTTTGTAATGTTTAGTAAGACGGGGTTCACCATGTTAGCCAGGATGTCCGCGGAACTCCTGACCTGTGATCCACACCGCCTCGCCTCCCAAAGTGCCTGGGATTACAGACGTGAGCCACCGCGCCCGCCTAATTTTATATTTTAGTAGAGATGTTTTTCACCATTGGTTGGCCCGGCTGTCCGCACTCTGCTCAAGGATCCGTCCGGCCTCTCTTGCCCTCCCCAAATGCTGATTACAGGCCTGAGCCACCGTGCCAAGCCCGAAAGTCATTCCTTCTTTTTTTTTTTTCTTAACAGAGTCTGGCTCTTGTTGCCCCAGGCTACAACGCAGTGGTTGGGAATCTCAGCTCCTCAACCCTCCGCTCCCGGGTTCAGGATTTCTCCTGCCTCGCCTCCGAGTACTGGATTACAGGTTCCGCCACACGCCCGGGCTAATTTTTTGGATTTTCAGTAGAGAGGTTCCCATGTTGGCCAGGCTGTCTCCGAACTCCTGGCCTCC